ATGAATTACTATTTATGTAATTGTGATACATGTAATTAATAATTAAAATAACGACACAAACGAAGTGTTGCTGGTGGACAGTAAGCACCAAAACAATCCATAAACAATCCAAGGCCTTCAACTGTGATTTTAAGCAAAACCAAAAAAAGAACAAAGAGGTGCAAAGTAAGTTGCCTCTACGTGGTGCGCCTTGGAAACGATTGAAACCGGCTAAAAACTTACATAAACTTATATTTTCACATAATATATATACACACATTTACTCACACATACATTGTTGAATATTTAATGCACAAGGATGTTTTTCTCTTTCGCAAAAGTCGGTCCAATCATAACTATGTAAAATGTTGATATCTTTAAAACAGGAGCAGCTAGGATTTCAATTCAAAGGGATTCTTAACCTAAAGATATCAAAAAATACAACCCTGCTTTCAGTTTTTGTCGACATTTTTATGCAACCTATCTTTGCTTCCTGCCCACCGTGTGTACTGCTAGCATATACTAAATATAATAAAATTATTTAACTAGTTTATGTTTTTTGATTTTATGCAGCACTTCCACTAGACATTAAAATAACAAGAAACCTTCCGATTTAAAAAATTATTAACGTAAAGGCGCAGGCGGGCTTTCTTTGCCATTAAAATTGTTAGCATTTTCTGTCCAGTGGAAATCCGGCATTAGTGGTTTGCATACTTTTAATATATTAATGATTCTTTTCCAGATCATTTCGCAGGATAGTAGTCATTCCAATTCTTCTACTTCACCAATTGACTCACCAGGTGGAACGAATACCACACCAAGTGTTCAGCAGGTGAGTTTTTATTATTAAAAGTGGGTATACATTTAAGTTACTATAATGATAAATAAGCATTAAATAAATTTTTAAAATTGTGCTACATGTCTATATACATATATAGATACGTAAGTATCTGTATATACATACATATAAACCGCTGCTGTCCCTATATGTAGTTCGCAATTGCTTGTCTTCAACTTGAAAGCCATATGGCGAGTAATTGTTCTGCGAAGGCGAAATTCATGCTGTTACGTATTGCTGCTGCTTCTTCACAAACTTGATAAGTTGACAGTCCAAGGAGTGCAGATAGAAGAAACCGTATAAATAATACCGCACGGTCGACTGGTCGACTGGGAACTACCCAAAAAGGTGCGAAGTGCATATGTATGTATGTAAGCTGTGCGACGCCGAAATATGCTTCCATCCACCCACCAGTAGTTGTCATTTTAGTGAGGTCCTCTTGAATCAGAAAGATGACTATGTCACTTAAATACGAGCAAGCCCAGTAAGGTTTACGGATTTAGGTCAAACCATTGCAATTCATTATTACCATTATACATAGGTATGTACCATGTACATACATACATAGTAAGCGTGAGCATTTCATTGCAAACGTAGTAAGTGCATGCATACGTATGTATCTACACAGTAATAATTGCATGAATGCGTAAAAACGGGTACAATTGTGTGTAGAGCGAGCGAGTGTTTTTTTATTGCTGCCTGCATTTACTTTAAGGTGTGGGCACACTCAGCGACCACTGTATGTGTACATACATACGTACATATCGCAGCACGTTTGGTAATGGAACCAAGTATTTCAAAATTTCAATTTTGTGCGAAAACGCAATCAAAGTTTTATAAATTCATACAGTTGGTATAAAAAAAAGACTGATGGAAAGACACATATCTTCACCATATTTCGGAAGTTTGATTATCTGTTAGACTCAATATATTCTACTTATAAAACGTATTAATTGCATAATGGAATCTCCAAAAACGTAAATTTTTGAGTTACATCTCTATATTATTAAACGCGCAATATGCATGTATGTACATATATTGTCCACACGAAGTGGCATTGATGTGCAAAGTTTTTGCTTATCAAGATTTGTGCGGTTTGCATTGATTTTTTACTAAAGCAACAGCAATAACAAACAGGCTCTATAATGTTGTGAGTTTATATTTTAAAGACGTGCGAACGAAAACACACAGATTTAAATTTTAGAGTTGATTTTCGAAATCAAAAAAAAAAAGAGAAATATGGAAATACATACATATATTCGTACATGTAAATATGTGGGAACATATGTATGTGGTTATGTTCATACATACTCGGTAGTAGTTGATTCATAGGCAGGAAAAGGAGAACCGAGAGCATATAATATTTGCCTAAAGATTATCTACTTAAATACCACACTTACTGCCGAAAAAATAGGATTTGCACAAACTTTTCTAAACTCGGATATTATTTATGTACATTTATAACACATGTACATATACATACTTCTTGTAGAAGCATTCCCTGCAAAAAATGCGACTAATCCGGGATGACTCCGGGAGCAATAGCAAAGGAATATGCGCGACTAATACCACCCACTTTTTATCTCTTTATATGGAATGAACTGTTCGCTTTTGTTCGAGCATGTCCTATGAAGAGACTATAATTGTTCCCCTTTATAACCGAACGGGAATTAAAAGCGACTAGTCACTTTTAAAAAATAAAAATAAAAATTTGCGTTAGCTGCGATACGAACCGGGGTTCTCAGTTTTGTTAAACGAATACGCCGCACATGAAATTTCATTGACTAAGTGCGTACATATTATTAAATCGTTAATACTGCCCCCGTTAGGGATGAGTCGGGGACTAATTGATTTCCAATAATTAGAATAATTGATCTCCATTAGTACCTGTATGAGACTAGTTGCGACTAATTAATGCCCAAGTGTAGCCTTGAGTTGAGAGTAATCTCGGAATACTATCGGTAGAGATTAGTCGCACAATTTTTTGCAGGGATGGTCGTACCAAAATTCGACAAGCGAGCCAGCCAGCACATATACACATGTACGTACAGATTTATTGAGATTTTTAATTAACTGCACTTGTAGACTAGCGTCAAAAGCAAACTCTCTTACGCAACGGAGCTTTGTGCTGGAGTAAAAATGAACAAGTTGCCATTTTTGGTAGCCTCGAACCAGTGCAGCACCACCACCAAATATGAAATGTGCACTTCGGTGCAAGCATTATGGCGTTTTTGGCTATTGGTGGCAGACAGGATTTTCTTACGTCGAAGCATTTTTGGAAATCCTACTAAAGTGATTAGTGGTTTGATTTTTGTGCATTGCCATTCGCTATACGACACCATTCGACCATTTGGCAATGAATCACAATGACATACATATGTATGTATACAAGCCAACGATTATGTAAATAAGAAATCAATCAGCACTGAACTTTAAAATGCAAAAAATAAAAAAAAATATTTATTAACTTAAAATTATTTATTAATGAATATTGGAAAGCAACTCCGTGCTATATCGTCAGTGATACAGCAAAATATTCTATGTGCTTCTAGTGCTTAAATGATCTATCAGCTATATCTGATCACTTCTGTTAATCGTTCATCTTCATCAGCAAAAATTACGGTGACCATCCGTTCCTATATAATGATGTGTAACACAGCACAGTACTGTGCTAACACTCATCAATGTGCCGCATGCTCAGGCAAACTTTTTGATTAAACGATAGCACAGAAGCGCACTGGGCACAATATGAAAGCACAAACTGGGAAGTGTTCTCGCCGCCAATGATCGCAAACATAAAGAAATGGAGAAGTAAATTAGTTCTCAAAGTTTGAAAGGGAAGTGGATCACTTCGAAGGTCCGCTTTGTCATTCAGCTTGTTCCGGATGCTTGCACTGCGTTGTGCTTGGCCGAAGTTCGAGTAGGAAAATAATGCTTTCAAAGTAGCGTAACAAATTTGAAGGTTCTGTCGCCAACTTTTACGTATAATAATTAGTACCACTAAGGATAGAAATACTACTAGTTAATTACATATAGTTAGATTAGAAAGTTACCATCAAAAACTTTTGAATTAATTTAAAACTTTCACTTTCTCAGTAAAATCTGTTACAACTAAGCAATTTTTATTTTATTTTTAAATCTTCACTTATTTCTTCTAGACCTGTTCGCAACTTATCAAGGCTGGGCTCAAGCTTTCCATCCAAAGCAAGCGAAAACTTTCTACTTGTGATTCCAGCTCTGGTTCTGATCAGCCAAACTCAAAGTATTCTCGCCCAGACGAAGATGGCGAAGATTCATCAGATGAAGAAAACGAATGCAAAACGACAACAAAAGGTCTAACGCCGGAGGACGAAGATCGTCGGCGTCGCCGCCGCGAACGAAATAAAATCGCTGCTACGAAATGCCGGATGAAGAAACGAGAACGTACACAAAATCTGATTAAGGAATCAGAGCAATTAGAAACTCAGAATGTCGATTTGAAGTCGCAGGTGCGAACTTTAGAAGCTGAGCGTCGCAAATTATTTGACATGTTGCAATGCCACACAACCACCTGCGTGCATGCGGGTGGACTTAATTTACCATCTAAACTCATGCAGTCGCCAGCTCATAAGTACCTCGCTGCCCTCGATATAGATGAAAATAGTACTGCCAATAGCAGCTCGGCGTCAACAAGCGTGACTGCTAGTGGAGCCCATTCCCAAACGCATCAACAAAGTCAGGCCAGCATTGCTCTAAGTAATCAGTCGGCCCATGGAGTGCAACGCACAGTGATCCCACCAATGTCAACCATTAAATTTTCACGAAGTGCCGCTGTAAACCAACAGCTGCACCAATTACCCACGCAACAACAGCATCTGCCAAATGGCTACTGTAAGCCATCACCCACGCCACAGGAGCTTGGCTACCTAGCTTCACCGTCACAAGAAAGCATATGCTTGCCCGCCATTCTTCCACAACTTTCTTCGCAAACTCCTGCCACCCACCAGATTGGAGCTGCCAATGTTAGTGCCGGCTCAGTGCCTTCCATTAACCAGCAGGTCTCCGATTACATTCCAAACTGTGAAAATAGTCTTGGTCTAGTACTGGCACACACTCCCACCTCTGTTCAAAGCAACGATGACAACAGCATCCTACTTGGTGACATGGTTAGCCCACTTTCGGTTATGTCCACACCCACCACGGCAACGGAGTTCGTCAAAAACGAGCTAGTCGACTCGCAAAGCCCTTACACCACCGCCCAGTCAGCTGAACGTTTTCTCTTTGAGAGTAATTGTGACAGCTTCATCGATATCAAGCATGCCGTCAACTTACATCATGGAATTCTCAATAGTAATAACAATAACAACAACAATAATAGCATTGCAGCTATCCATCACAATATCAACAACAACAACAATCTTTTGGATTTCAATACCTCTTTGATAGGTAACGGCAGTGGAATTGTACCATTCCACGATCAAATATCGATCAAAAACGACTATCTGCACGATGCCGATTTATTGGCTCAGTTCACGGCAGACGGTGCTGATTTTGTAGACCTCGATTCCAGTGTTGCAGCGACATTTATGACAAATAATGGCTGTTTGGCGTGAAATAGACCTTCGACATTTTCGAATGAATAAGAGTTTATTGGGGAAATAAGAAGCGTTGCGTTATCGCAAAAAGATAGCCGTCTTCGTATGCATGCATAAAAACTGCTGCTTTTCTTTAATATTCGTTCTGTTGACTCGCGTGCGTTGGTGTTGTTATTGCAATTCGTTATTCATTTCATTTTTATAAACAAGCAATTAGGAAGTGTTGAGTTAAGAAATATATGTATAGATACCAATAAAATGTAGACACTAATTAGAGTTATGAATAGAACACCGCCAAAGTCACAAAATTACATATGTATGTATGTATGTATGTACCTCTACATACACATACTATTTAAATGCATATACTGCATACATATACATATATGTATATGAATGTATGATGTTGGTGTTAACCCTAGATGCTAATCAAACCATCCTAGTACTAGACGTAAGTAAGTGGTTGTCTGGGCTTCACAGTTTTTTTACTAAAATGTTTGCGTCTTCCAAAACATTGATTTCAAGCGAACTTTGACATTTCATTTTAAAATTATTTGACGCCAAATTTCTCTTTCAATGCTAACGATTACGAAGAGCCTGATTACCACCAACCTCGAATAACAAACACAACCGAATTGGCTTTGATGGTTTTTGATTTTGAAATGAAATGCAATCACGGGTTTTAAACGAATCCCGTTTTATATAAGTATGTGGCTTTACTACCTCAAAACAGCAACAAAAATGAAATACGAGTACTTGGTGAAAATTTGTTGCGGTCCAAAAATTTACAATGGTGGGACATGCATAGAATTTAAATCCACACATACATATGTACATGTATATGTACTTTTTTTTTGTTTACCTCTGTTAAATGTATTGATCAAATAACATTCCAAAATTGTAAGGAAATATATGTAGGCTTAAAATTTTTAAATCGCTACACATTTTACGTAAGTGTACGTTACGAAGAATCAGAATCACATCCGCAACAGTAATTATTATATTTAATTGCGAGTTTATGTATACTCCCAAGTGATTTCACATTGAAAAGATAAAGTTTGAGAAGGAAATTAAACTTTAGTAAAAATACACTATAAAAAAAAAATTTTTTAGTCGAAGACAAGCAGAAAAGTTTTCATTGAAGAGATTATTTAAAATCTAATTATTTGGACCATGTCTAACTGAGCTGTCTCGCTGTAATTCTTAATAAAGTTTTAATTTATTTATTTTTTTATTTTAAATATGTGCGTGTTAATAAAATGCTTATGTGTTTCTATTAGGTTCTTATTTATCTCCTATACCTTTGTTGTAATAGTATTTATTGTTTTATTTTTACTTGTGTACTTTTTATTTTTAATTTTTTAATTTTGCAATTTAGTTTTAAAAGGAAATCTATGATATTCTGTATAAGTGATAAACATATGTACATATGTATACGCCTGCATGTGTGCATATGGGCATAATTAAATATAGCCATAAGAAGCAACTGTAAATGTAACATGCAATCAGCTTAAAAATAAACTAAACTAACCTCATATTTTATTTATGATATATGTATGTATTTATTAGTGTCTAACTAAAATACTTAAATAAGGAAGAAAAACAGAAAGAAAAAAATAACAAACTTTCATCTTCAGTGTTGCCTTAAATGTTTACAAGAAAAAAATAGAATAAAATAAATTAAACTGATATCAATAATGATACTAAACGAATAGTTTGTAAAATCATTTGCCTTATTCAAAATTCAAGAAAGTGCGCTTAAAATTAAAAAAAAAATAGCTCTGATAAATAAATTACTATATATGTACTATACCGCTAGCATAGTTACTTTATGTAGGTATATATGTGTGTATGTGCATATGTATAAGCATACAAATGTATGTACATATGTACATATAAACCTAAAATATTTATGTACGTGCTACGCGCACAGAAAACTTAATGGAAATCATAACTGTTCGAACGAAATTTTCTCACAATAAAAAACAAAATTAAGTGAAAACAAAAATGTTTGTCGAAATCAAAATAAAAATTGCAATTTACATACATAAGTGTATTTTATCAAAATCTAAGTTCAAATGTTTTAGCTGTGAATACTATTTTGTGGCCTGTATAGTGATATCAACGAAAAACTGTTGTATCATTTTTTTTTAAATATACATATTTGTGTACGAGTTCTAAACAACTCATGCCACTTGATGCTTTATTCGTGTGTTGTTGCTAGCTAGGCGTTCACATTTTGCAAAACAAAAAATTAAATTAAATAACAACAACATTACAAATATTCCTGGATATGTGTAGATACACCGAAGTTAAAATATGTAATTGCTGAGCTCGGAAGGAGCTTGTCTAAATGTCAATAGATGTAAAATATCACAAGTTTGCAGCCGCACATATACATACATACCATTCCCATCCCAAATTGTCATAGGCTTTTCAGATCATGTGTCCATACTTATTAGAAAGTTACAGTTCTTAGCATGTTACTTCAGTAAACGCAAATGTTTGAATTTATAGTTAAATGAAAACGGCGGTAGCAAAAATAAATTATATCAAATCAATGGCTCTCCACATATTTTAATAAATGTTTTTACGTTTTTTTTTTATTTTTTGTTTTTAATGATATCAGAATCCTACACACGATTTATGTCGGAATATAATGTATCATATACATACATACATATGTTTGTATGTAGATATACAGATATTTAAATATACAAATAATTCACTACAAGGCAACAACGCCAAAGAAAAAGCATTAAAAGTACGATTAAATGCCTCCCTATTTTGTAAGAATAGGCGATGCCATATAGTCCAACAGAGCATTGAATACCAAATCATCTCAATCAATATACATACATACAAATTTTATAATAATTCACATACGAGTATTCATAAGCCGCATACACAGTTGTTTGGCAAAAATACTAATTGTATGGCAAATATGTTCGCATATGGAGACTTTTGATATAACAACTTTTCTTGACTGAGCACTTAATTGTCAGTATACTGGATTCTTGTGCACTATTACAATATCCCAAAACAGGTAAACGAAAAAAGAGCAAGAAATAAGCACCTACCTACTCGTATGAATATCACGAGATCAAAAGTTGAATTAATTGTGCCTTTGAGATTTTGCACAAATTTGCAACTATGGAACCTCTAACAAATAACGTTCGCTGCGACTAATTGGCTAGAGGTTCGTACTAACGCTCCCTAGGTCCACAGTTCAACATACTCTACTCGGCAGGCAAGGTCAAACCTCCGATTGTATTGCTGCCATAGAAAATCTTATGAAATTCATTTACCGTTCAGAGGCGACAAAAAACTGTAGGCCCTCCATTTGTGTAACAGCATCAGGATGCACACCACAAACTGGGGGAGAAGCTCGGCGCCCAAAATTATATTAGTATTATTTAATCTACGAAAAATTCTTAATTGTACTAATTGAAAATTACATTAACCGAATATTGCGTTTATCGTATTGCCTGTATTAAGAACCAGTATTGTCTCCAACAAATTTTACAGAAAATACAAAATTTTGCAGTAAAGCTGCAATTTTACACACTTTTCTGGGAGCAAAAATGCTAAAGTCAACTAAGTTGTTACGTCAAAACTAAAAAATAAAAGAATTTATGTATGCGACAATTATTGCACAAACCGTTGTTATTTCAACTAAAAACAAAAGAAAAAATGCTAAAGTCAACTAAGTTGTTACGTCAAAAATAAAAAATAAAAAAAGAATTCATGTATGCGGCAATTATTGCACAAACCGTTGTTATTTCAACTAAAAAGAAATGTTCAAACCAAATAATAAAGATGCAATCAAAGTGACCAAAAACCAAGAATACAAATAATAATAATAATGAAAGAGTATTATATTAAGGCGTACAGAATAAATGTTATAAATATTCCAGCTAGAACTGAAGCCATCATTGACCAGTGTGAGTTAACAATTGCCAACAAGTGTACATTGATTCAAAATTATAAATATTTTCTTAGTATTTGTTTCGACTTATGCGTACGGTGACCATATTAAACATTATAAAATAAAGGACTTTTTTTTCAAAATGATTTGGGAATACGTACATACAACTTGTATGATAGAAGTACCTTACCCATATCGTAACTTAAATCAAATATTTGCCAGTTAATTATATTATTTAATTGCACAAGTTCTCTGTAGCGAAAAATTAAGCCAAATCCTTTTCAAGGACTTCGCCATCCTTTGCTTCCAAAATGCGTTTACCATAATTCATACTGCACGACGAAGCCAGCACACAGTGGTTCAAAATTGGAATTTAATGTTCAAAATGCACCGGCGCCTTAATTTTTCTACCAATTTTTACTAAAAACCAAAAAAAAATTTATTTTGGTGAAAATTTTTTTATAACATTTCAAATTTATTTTTTTGTGCATTTTTTTTTTTGGTTTGGGAGAACCATAAACTCATTTTCAACTATTTTTTGTATGTAACATTAACTGGAACAGCAGAACACATTTTCTTCAAAATTGCTACTTTATATGCATTTTGCACTAAAAAATCTAATTTAATCAAATAAAAGTTAAGAAATCAGGCTCAACTCGTCTCTTGCAAATATCGTAAGCTTTCATAAAAAAAATAGAAATTAGTCAAATTAAGTGACAAATGAAGGCTCCAGTGAATTACGAACACTAAATGTCAGTTTTGAACCACTGTGCAGCAGGGGGTTTATTGTTCTCTTTCAGTGGAACTGGAAACTCAGCGTGCAACACGATCCTGGGCACAACTTTCCCTATGCTTTATAGATTGTACAAAGATTACGGACTAAATAGAAACCCTTAAGTGGGGTGCGAAAGAAACTGGCGAAGGTTTTCATTGTATTTTATATGGGACATTTTTATTTTTCATATTCTGCGTTTAAAAATTTACCTCTGAAAAAATGCAGAGCCGATTTAAAGGACAGTTTAAGAAATAAAGGACAAAAGGCGTGCTTTATTTGGAAAAAAATTATATAGGACAGGGGGTTACGGATGGTCACCGTACTTATGCGAGTACCCTAATTCTACATCCCTTATTTAAAACTATTAAACTTTTACCTATTCTCGGCAACACATACATATATAAAATCGAAAGATAACTTTAAGCGTTCAACTTAAATTGAAAACTAAAGACAAACTTAAATACATACATACATACATACAGATAAAGTAAGCTATAATATAGCGCTACAGCAGTACCTGTTAAGCTAACAGTACCTTTTTGAATGGCGCAGGGGTATAGTCCATATATATAGTCACTTGTATTTTTTGTCGGCTTATCGAAGTTCATATTAATTATTATAAAGCTAAATAGAATGAATGAAAGTTCGAAAGTACCGGTCGATCACATGTGCAAGTGTTGGCAATTTTCAATAATACTCAAAATTTAATCACAATTCTAAAAAAAAAAACGATATAAATTTCATAGTCTTAACATATTTGTGCTATATGTATTTTAATTTTGAAAAGGGCAGTGATAAGTGCCAAACTGCTGTGCAAACTATTTAATAAATAATTAAAATATTTTTGACTTGGGCAAAAATATATTTAAATATTTGTATATTATGTTATTTCAAACACTTTAGTGGTTTGGTTTTTGTAAAATTCAGAAAACAGTTTCAATTTTGTTACTCGTTATATTGAGATGTTTGTTTTATTATATGTTATGCTTATTTTAAACAAAACACATATGTAAATAATACACATACTCACACATATGTATGGAAGTACATTAGACCGTATCCCCAAAATATATGGGGCTAGAAGGACAAAATATTCCAAACGGTTTTTAAATCCAGCTATTGGAGTATATTTCAGGGATGTAAAAACGTTTGCCTACGGCACCTCAGAAAAACAGTTATTTTGGGATTAACCCATAACCCCTCCATACGATTCCGGAATTTTTCAAGTGATATAACGCCGTTAAAGCTTAAAAACAATTATATTAACTGTTGATTTACGGGGGCTGCATCCAGAAAAATGTAAAGAGTAAAAATAAAGATTGTGGCGACCGTAATAAGGCCAACAAGGTGCTGACCATGCTGAAGAAAAAATCCCAAGCTTTCAGGATGAAAAGAGCTGAGTTAACTGATTGTTTCGAGTCATTTGTACGAAGAGTGAAAGAAGGAGAGCTGCAAAGTTCAGAAAGTTACAACAAATTTTTTGAGCATTGAATCAGTGGTTACTGAGATATATGTATTTATTTTTCAATGCACAAATTTCTAATAACGCTTTTCTTATGTAACTCTTTAAAAGTCGATTTAATTGGTTTGAACTCATTTTTGTGATACGGCCTAATGTACATATGTACATATAGTAATATACATATTTACATACATATGTGTGTGTTCACAAAAGTATCGGCAGCCAAAACGCACATACATATGTACACACATAATTAATTTAGAGGCAACGAAATGTTTTTTTCTTTTTGTTTTTACTTTTTAAGAAGGCACACGTTAATTTTGAATAGTTTTTATATGACTCGGCCTTATGTTTGTCAGCAAAGAAGTCTATCGCATTTAAATACGAAAAAAAAATATATGTAATGCA